TTTGGATTGTCCCAAAATAAGTGTCTCCTTTCCTCTTTCGGAAAGAAATATGTGGTCTACACTATTTCACTTTATTATACTCAAACCTCAACCACAACTTTTATTTTTTCAACCACTTCATTAATAACCGTGTCAAGTCAAACTAAGACACATAAAATGGGACGGAGATAGTATTACTTTAATGTTTATAAGCAATAAGCATTCTTAGACGTTAGTCTTTCATAATAATTTTAAATTGTTGACTGACTTACAAGTCTTTGCAGATTTTGAAGCCAAAGTTGGATGAGATAAGAGAAGAGATGCAAAATAGGGTATGGTATCTTGAGTATCATATTTTCTTTTTCACCTATTTAGTTGATTGAACACATTGTTTACCACCATAATGCTTCATTAAATTATACCTTTGAGCTTCTCACTCAATATATAATTAATTTTTTTCATGTGAACATTATTTGTGTGATCATTAAATTTGTCTTCGTTCACTACCTGTGGTCTTTTAATTTATAAACTTGCACTCCATGTTTTCATATGCTATGTTTTTTAAATGCGCCTTAGCTAATGGTAACCAATAAATGTTTCGGATAATGTTAGGGTATGTCTCCTTCAGCTGTGCATGAGGGTCGTATGAAGATGAATGAGCTATTCATTGAGTATGTCACGCTGATTCTAGTATTACCAATTCAGTTTTTACTATTTTTCTTTATTTATAATATGAAGGCTCCTTACAATGATGTATCGAATGTGGATTTTCAGACATAAAGTTACACCCTTTACAGCAATGAAGGGAATTTTTATACAAGGCCCTATTTTTGTCAGCTTTTTCCTTGCCGTAAGAATGTCTTCTCTCAACTATGTATCCGGCGAATTACTTTATTTCAGAGCAACATTGTTTTGCATATTTAATTCTTTATAATAAATATGTTTATGTATATATATCATCTCGGCGCAGATTAGTAACATGGCAGAAAAAGTGCCTTCTTTTAAAGAGGGTGGTGCATTCTGGTTTACTGATTTGACAACTCCTGATAGCATGTACATCTTTCCAGTTTTGGCTGCATTGACATTCTTGATCACAGTTGAGGTCAGGTTTTGTCCATTAAGATGTAGTCATTTTCTGTTTATCATCCTCAATCATATGTAAACTTTCTCATTTTCCGCATCCTCTAGGAGTCTAGGATATGTCTGAATCTCAAAAAATATTTGGGGGGGGGGGTAATGCTAAAGAATTTAATCTTCTTATGTTTTGTTTTACCTTGAGAAATGCAAAAAAGGAAATGAAACATGATTAATATTTTAAATAAATATATATATATATATATATATATATATATATATATATTTAGATTTGCTATTCTTGAGTAGCGATCCTGTCAGACGGCCTGACAGGACTCTCCATCCGGCCAAGGGCTTTTGGGGTTCTTCCCGGTAGAATTTTTTGATGAATTTTTTTTAGCATGTTCTACATCAAGTCTAGTTTATCCGTACCAAATTTCATCTAAAAATTCAATTGGGAAGACAGTCAAATAAATTGTGGAACAAAACTGCACTGCTTATATATATACATGGTAGTCAAAATCGCGAGTTTACTCGTAGAATCGTACGATTCTACGATCTGAATATAAACCTCCGATCCCGTTCCCACTGAGAATCGTAAAAAAACCAGGATCAGATGAATCGCCGAGTAAACTCGTAGAAGCGTATAGGAACGGCGATTCTTCTCTGCGACTCAATTCTTCCAGCGCCAAGTGTATGGCGACTTCCATTCTCAGGTGTGGCTGTCTTCCGACTTCCATCTCTGCGTCAAAGACTTAAAGATCGACTTCCAGAGTCCGATTTCCTCGGCACTCTGTTTTTTTTTCACTTTTGTTCGTTCTTTATAAAGCCAGTAACTTCCGTGGATAATACATAGTATTATATTTATACTTTCATTTACGTTTTTTTTACTTTAATTTATCTATTAGCATTTAATTTTTTCTTTGTCACTAAGTAATTACACATCATATGGTTTTATTAGAAAAAAATTACTGTAAACTATTATTATCATTATCATTCTTATTATTATTATTGTTGTTGTTAGGTGTTACATAACATAACATCACATCACATCACATCACATCACATCACATCACATCACATCACATCACATAACATAACATAACATAACATAACATAACATATTGTTATTTTTTATTAAGTAAAAGAAAATTAGCTTGTTTATTTTTTTATTACATTTTATTACATTTTATGTTCAATTGATTGCTGAATTATTTACTTATATTTATTAATAATAAAATGCCATCTCTTTGAACATTTTCTTTACATTTTAATGGAGGAGAAGAAGATTCTTTGGAAGATTATAATTTAAACTTAGATGATTACAATTTAGATATTTAATTATGTAGTTAGGATTTAGAACCGTATTTTTGTAAGTCTTAAATACCTAAAATATTTGATATTATGTTCTAAACAATTTACTTAGGTTATTATTTACGTATCAATTATACTAGTATTTACATTCTAACTATATTATACACACACACACATATCTATATATATATTATATTTGTATATACAAGTATAAATATATTTTGTAGGATCTTACGATCCGAGTCACGATCCTACGATTTACGATCCTTGTTGTAGTTTCCGATTCTACGTAGGATCTCGAGTTTGACTACCTTGTGTGTGTGTGTGTGTGTATAATTTATTTTTGACTACCCTAAACCCTAAACCCTATATATAATTTATATATGTATATATATAAATTACAGTTTTTGTAAATAATTTATTTAACTGCCTTCCCGATTGTATTTTCAGCTAAACTTTCGTATGGACAAACTAGACCTGATGAGGAACATGCTCAAAAAATTTCATCGAAAAATGCCACCGGGAAGGTCCCCAAATGGCCTCGGCCTGACGGCGGTTTCCGTCAGGCCAGCCTGATACGAATTGCCCTCAGTTTTTCTTTATATTAGAAACATAAGTAAATAAATAAATTAAATGAGAATAAAAAAATATCCAAAATAATTTCATTTTTAAACTATGATTTTCACGGAGTGTTTTCAGCCAAAGTCGAACTTCTTTTTCAGTGTTCTACTCCATTCAAGATTGACCATATAAAGCTACTTCTTGAGCATACAACTGCTTATTTGATTTTTCCAATGTTATGTTGTACATTGTTCTCTCCTCAGTGTAATGCACTAGAAGGGTTGGAAGGAAATTCTTCAGCATCAACCATAAAAAATGTTTCGAGGGGATTTGCTGTGCTTACTGTTCCATTTACTGCAAGTTTTCCAAAGGTACATTAATGGTGCATATGATGCTCTTTCTGTTGAAATACTGGCTACAACATTGTATGCATACATGAGAAACATGTATGTGTTGAAAAGAACAGGTTAGTTAATCTTGCAAGATTTTATATGTATGAGATCTTGGTTCTATGTGTTTCACAAAGGTTGTTAAACTTTATTAACTATCTAGTAGCTAGATCGGAAGAAGAGGATATGAACAGAGAAATAATAAAATAACCCCCAGTCCATATATAATTATAATAATGATTGTATAATCACATACTTGTGTGTAGTTTAGAGCATTTATACTTTTGCCTCCCTTTAACTGAAATTCTTTGGTACACATCTGCATATCCATGTCATTTATATCAGAATGTGTACTAAATTCGGCCAGCTCACCTCATGAGGCTTATTTATTACACACAAATCTGTTAAACATTTGATTTATGACACCACACCTTTCTGATTGAGGTGGATAAATGAGCAAAGCTGACCCCGTACTATGGGTACCAAACAAGCAAGCAATCCATTTTGAGGATATTGCGTTTAGTCCAATGTGGCGCTCTTTAGACTTCAGATGATTACATTTGATGTGACACTCTTTCACAATGAGGATATGTGTGCTTAGTCATAAGAAAATTTAACATTTTTTTTGTTTGCGCAAAAATTCGGAATTCTTTTTATGTTAAGGATTTGTGACAAAATTACAGGCACTATTCTGTTACTGGGTTACCTCCAACCTTTTCTCACTCATGTATGGAATGGGTGAGTTTACTTTCTCTGAAAGTTTGTTTTTTTCCCTTTTTACATATGTAGTTTTTCTCGATTTTTAGCATTTCCCCCACCTTGTTGTATCAGTAATTAAAAGGCCTCAAGTGAAGAAATTCCTTGGTGTACCCATAGTGCCCCCGGCACCCCAGAGCGGTGATAAAAAACCAGGACTGCCATTTTTTGAAGCACTGAAAAAGTTTGCGGCAGCCCAAGAGTATGCAGCAAACCAATCAGCTCAGAGTATTTCACCACCACCAGTCGAAAAATCCAAAACTGCAACGCAACAAATATCACCATCTTCCTCTGTTCTTAGTCACAGGATCAAAGTCTTGGAGAAAGAGGTGAAAGGAAGGAAGAAAGGGAAAAAGAGGCGATAATGTGCGTAATCAATTCAGAGAAAGGAATTATTTCAATATTTTTATTTATTGAACTTTGCAGTATTGCATTTTGGACCCGTAAAAGAGGCTGCATTCTGTTCAAAATGGCTGCAGTGACTACTCCCCAGTCCCCTACTCCCCTGTACGCTAAAAAGTGTGAATCTTTAACCCTCCGGATGGAGTAGAATATACTATACAGGATTAATAAGTTGGGTCGCAAGTCGCAACTCTCCAATTGTTGGCAAATTTTGTAGTATCCATCCTTGTGGACAGGGTTTCTTTTATTTTTGTTTTCACCTCAATTGAACATGAAAATACAAATAAACAATTGTGATATTTTTGGTTACTTGGATATTCTAATATTCCTTGTACGCTGTAGTAGATTGTAGTTGTACGGTTGGGACTTGGGAGGCTAGCTAGAAGAATCATGTTATTTGTGTTGTGTAACCTTTGTTCGTTTCAACAAGTACTTCTATCTGTACCGTCTGAATCCTAATAGTTTAAAAAAACTGATTGGAGATTTGGAGTAGAACTCATTCATCTGAATGTTTAGATCATGACACGTAAGCTTGGATATCAGAGATCGTCATTGTGCATATCGGGTAGGGGTTGTATACAATACACAAAAAACAAACTGCTGAACTTCTGTAATTGCCGAACCAAACTGATCTATATTGCTCCGGCGTTCAGTACAAAAAAATGAATTTTCATGAAATATCGGTTCGGTTTAACCGAATGAACGCCCCTAGGTGCTATCAACTAGGGCAGGACTTATGTCAGCCAGAGCATTAGATGACAAAGATGCTGAAGACGCAAATCTCATGGCTAGTAATTCTTCCCTGCTGTATTTCAGCCTCTGATCTGTTGGAGGGATCATAAAAAAGGAAGGATTAGACCCATAAATTCTGACACATACAGAAAAAAATATAAATGGCCAAGTATCCTAAACAAAAATATACATGAGCATCACTCACCGATGAAACTCTCATTTTTTAACTTAAGCACTGGCCAGGGTCGTCGTTTATCCTTCTTGAGTTTGTACTCTGAGGGAAGAATGCGGCGGGCATGCTCATGCCTTATTTCAATGGAAGGATGCTTTTGACAAAACAACAAGATAGCATCCTCTGTTATGAGCCAACACCCACTGAGATCAAGTACCTCTAGGCCTGATGGGGGGCTGAAGGAATAGAGCCCCGCATTGGTCAGAACTACATCACAAACCGCAAGGTTTATCAAATTTTCAATCTTTGATAAATGGTACAGGCAGGCATCCGTTAGGGGTCCCCTTTGCAGAGATAAGTGTCTCAGTTTACAGATACTTGACAGAGGAGCTAGTGCCTCATCCTTGATTCGAGTCTCCTCCAAATTCAACCTTTCCAAGTGATTTAGACTGTGTAATGCTGACAGCGATAAGTTCCATCCTTCACCAGATTGCACATGGTCAATCAGACCTGGATCATTCAAGAATTTCAATTAGCATCATGTGCCATTATTATATGAGAGATAATATGAGGGATAAATGGAGACTTACAGAATATAACCAGAAGTTTAGCTTAGATAACAAAATTCAGTGGCTATTTGGTAGCCACTTTTATCAACCAGATTCTTAAGAAACACTACAACTAGCCTATTTTATCACCTTATTCTGCTTATGAGGAGAACAACTAGCTTTTACTCGCTAATTTGAATAAAATGGATTTTACCAAAAGCTTTCCTTTCAAAAAATCAACAGTCATCCATTACAAAAAAATAACCCTTTCCAAGTAGCCTCCAATTTATTGATTGTGCACATAATTGGTTAACAATGAATGTTGGATGTACTTAGCCAAAGTCGCTGACATGACCATTTTGTTCTTTTTTTTTCGTTTTTATTTTTCTTCTATCAATAACATACTCCGTCCGTCCCGAAATATAGTTTTTGTTTGTGCTTGGCGAGATTAGTAAAGAAGTGGTTGAAAATTGGGTAGAAATGACTGAAATAAGAACCACATACGTAGTATTTCTTTTCTTAAACTGAAATTTGGGATGGCTCCAAAATGAAAACAGGAAATTTAATTTGGCCCAAAGTAGTAAATTTTCTTTGCATAGTTCAGAAATTTTAGCAATTTCCTCAATTTCGGCAGATCCATCCAAATTTTTCGTGACAAAATGGGCTCTGAATCGCAAGTGAGAAAAGGAAACTACAAGAATCCAAACACAGCAGTACCTTTGACATTTGTACCACATAGACTGATAAACTTCAGTAAATGCATTGTGCTGATATATGAGATGGCATTGTCATCAATGGCAGTGAAAGACAGCTGTAAAGTTTCGAGATGAGGAACATGTCCAGCTAAGGCAGCCACGCCAGCTGAGCTTACTTTTGTCTTGCTGAGATTTAAATGGCGTAAACTTGAGCCAACGCATGTGATGTATTCAGCTGAATCGTCTCCAATGCAACAACCACTGAGATCTAATTCTGTTATGGCACTCATACACGTCAAAAAAACGAAGGAATGAATGAACGAGTTTGACAAATCCAGAAGAGATAAGATAGACGCTTCAACATTTTGAAAGACCTCAGAGGCATCAGATATTGTAGCTCCAGATAGAATAAGCCTTTCTAGTGTCACTTTATTGCCTTCTTGAAATAAAGAATCTACAACACAATTACTCATGTTCAGGGAAGCAAGGGAGGGCAGAAAAGGCAACCTTGTAACTTTCGTCCAGGATAAATCCACAAAACTCAACTCCCGGAACGTTTTAAGAATAGAAGCTCCTTTGTCAGTTACTGAGCTTCCCCAAAGGACTATATGTTGCAGCTTAGTAAGGGCCTGATATTATAACAAAACTTGATCTCACACATCATAGAAGGATATGTATCTCTAGTAGATCAGGACAATAAGAGGTTTTCAGTACCAGATTTATCTACATTGACACACAAATTTAAACATCCGATCAAATGCAATCTTTTTATGATTTTATTTGGATAGTGTAAGATAAACCTAATAAACTTAGATAAACTTGTTTTAGGAAAAATTGGGGGAAGCCAAGTGCATATAAAAATGCTGTTTTGGTAATTATCATGTTAACCCAGCTAAATGTAGTAAAATATTGTTTGGACTTCGGATGAAGGTGAAGTCGGTGAAGATACCAAAGTTACTTGTAAGAACTTAAACTCCGAAAATCTCCGAGATTCTCAACACTGGATATAGGTTCTCCCGAGTGAACTTAGGTTATCCAAAACCTGGGTTCTTGTGATAAATTGTAAACAATGAGGTGACCATGAAATAAAATTTCGAAGCAAACCTAGGTTCGGTTGTAGATGATTGGTGTTTGCTCCTAAACAGCAATGGGATCAAACTTTTATATAAAGGGAAGAGAAGATAAATTCATTACAAAAAGAGAGTAGAAAACAGGATGAGGAAAACTATATAAAAGCGTGTGGATAAGAACAATCTACCTGTAGAGAGCCCAGAGCTGCATCAGTAACAGGTAGTCCGCCCAAATCCAAAACCGATAAATTTGTTAGTGAACTGAGAAGTACAACTCCCTCTGCAGTTATACTTGTTTCTGCAATCCACAACTTCTCCAACATTGGAATGCATAGAAGATGCTTAATTCCAGCATCTGTAATCTTTAAGCAATTAGAGAGGTCCAGTTCCTTCAAGTTTGAAATGCCTGGAACAGTCAAAGAGCTTGATATGTGGGTGAATATTTTCCATGACACGGGACAAGTTGAAGTTGGATGTAAGGATAGTAAGAAAATACTCCCTCCGTCCCTTATAACTTTGCCAACTTTCCTTTTTTGGTAAAGAATTTGTGGTTCCAGTTAATTCTCTCTCCTCTGCACAAACCTCAACCACACAGTTTTTACATTATTAATCCCCGTGTCGGTCAAACTTGGCAAAGTTATTAGGAACGGAGGGAGTAATACAAATGCATAATGAATTAATGATACAGAGTAAGACAAGCTGACTTTAATATATGAAGTATAATAGTATATGTCACTGGTTAAGGTAAGAAAAGTTTTAAATTTATTCAAGAATTAACATGAAATGCAGACCTGTTAAAGGCCATATAGAGGAACTACTGATTTTACGGCAATTGGACAAATTCAATGTCTGCAAGTAGTGGAAGCCACCTAAATATGCCATCCATTCTGCATCCACCATGCTCTCTCCTTTTAAGTTTACTTCATCCACACAATACTTAAAAACTCTGCATACTCAAAATAGAGGAGGTGTTCCAAATTTAATGCTGCATTTCTAGACATATCATTATTCATTACTCACATAACCATAAAGGATTGTACGGAGTATCAATTTCAATATAGAGAACTTCCAATCATCTACTCTAGGTACGGAGTAATTTAATAACTTTCCCGTCGTGTATCTTTAAGAACTACGCCATAACATAAAAAACAGATAAAGAGTACAATCCAATGTTTACTAATCATCGAACTCTGGATGAATGAAATGTTCGTTATAGCTCTATTTGGACGTATCACAAAGTAAACCAGGAAAATGCCAAACAATTTTAAGCTAACATGACAACATTGTACCAATACATAGCTCAATCATCCCATTGATATTGCATTGATATTGCATGTGAACTAATTTTGAGACAAGTATTTTCAGATTCTCAGTTGAGAAACATGTAGACAAGGACAGATAAGGAATCAAGCGAGATATTTACTCGAGTAAAGAAGGGAAGAGGAGACGACGGCGGAGCAGGCGGTGGAGGAGAAGGTTGGCAAGGTGAGAAGGCAAGCGCTCCAGAGTGCGCCGCTGTCTCCTCCATACCTCGATGACATCATGGTTCTCACTGGCCGCTTCGATGCACATCTGAACCAATAAGCTGCAATTTTCCATTACCGATTCTGATAAATTCTTCAAATTTATCAGAATCGCGTGTCCTTTAGTCCCTTTACTATTCAAATTAGGATCTTTAGAAGCCCTTGAATCGAATCTCTTAAACGTGTCCGGCAAGTATTCTGGGTCTAAAAGGATTTAGGATTTTCAACCTTGCTATACGTACCTTATTTTGTACCCCAATTTGTACCCTAACCTATTTATGTGGCTCACAAAAGTCCACTTCAATAAATGAATTGCTCCACTTTAATGAGTTGCTTTTGTGAGCCACAAAAATAGGGTGGGGGTACAAATTGGGGTACAAATTGGGATACTTCTAACATTTTTGTAGGATTTTAGGGTGAATTTTAATAGAGTTTAGAATTTCATACTATTTCAAGTGCTATTTCAAGTGTTAGGATTTCTGTGAAATCTATGAAAATAAAGGTATTCTCAAACATTAAATAGATTTCTATTGTTACTTATTTAGATAGATTTTAATGGATTTTGATAGATTTATACATACAAAAACATTCCACCACAAATCTTGTGAAATCTCTCGGATTTTAAAATCCATGATCTTTTAAAATTCATCCAAGTCCTAGTTGGGGACACCCCCTAGTTGGACGTGAAGAAGGGCCACAAGAAACAATAGTAATACTTGTTTTGGTACGGATAATGATGTTTGTATAAGTTTTGTGTAAGCCCCATTACGCGCTGATATCAACAATTAGGTTGACGTGTAAAATGACGTGTACAAAAAACGTGTGCATATAGTATGATTCTTTAAAAGTACACACCTTTGAATGTGGTTTCACGTACGATAACAATACTTTGTTTCGGGTACACACAATGTTCTAAAAGGCGCTAGTCGGGCACCAGCCCAGCGCGGTCCGGAACGGTCCGGTAATTTAGCAAAACCCGTAATGTACCCGTGAGGTTTCTAAAGTTTCGGTACGGTCCGGTTCTAAGGTTGGAACCATTCGGTACCATGTCGTTTCGGAACGTAACGGTACGAAACGGTTCGGTACAATGCCAAACACATGCCGAAACATTTGGAAAAATCTTGCATTTAATATATATATATATATATATATATATATATATATATATATATATATATATATATATTATCACGTTGGCCAATTCACATGAAATGTTGATAAAAGTACAAGAAAGTGCATACTAAATACTATAAAAGATCGAAGATGTTGACATTTTTGTATTTATCACAAATACTCAAATAGTTCAACACAATTAAGTAAAAATAATATAGCAAAACAACGATAAACAAGTATAATATTCTGTATCATCTTTATTAAATTCATGTGAAAATATAAAAAGAATATCATTATTTTTTTTTTGGGAAGAATTAAATTATAGAAAATACTAGAAAAATTTAACATTCTTCTTTTTTATTCTAAGATGAATATTGGTTCTAGTTTAATTCATAGTTAAACCATAAGAGTCAAGCTTCGGACCATATTAAATAAGTTGTAACACTACGCAAATATGATACAACAAAACGTCATATACAGGGACGGATCCAGGATTTCGAGTCAAGGGGGGCGAAATTTTTTCATTAGTGTAGGGAGTGAAAAAATTTCGCTAGTAAGCGGAACGGGAAAAAATCGCTAGTGTAGCGGGGCGAATTTTTTCGCTAGTGTAGGGCTCTGTGGCTAATTTTTATTTAAAAAGTTCCATTAGTACATACTACATACACGATGACGATTAAATCTATTATATTCTAATTCTAATTATAGACAATGAAAATATAACTTTGATTTAATAACTATAAGTGCTCGAGAAAAAAATATTGATACATTAAAGCTTAAGAAATGACAAATTAAAGGGAAATTATTTGAAAATAAGAAAGGATATGATATACGTAGTATAACATTTTATGATATTATTTGAAGGTAAAGTGGTTAAAGTTAAAGGTACACATCAACCAATATTTCTTAAGTAACTTATGCCTTGTTTAATCGCATGATTCTTAACAGGATAAAGAATTGATTTTTGAATTGAGATTTTTGTCTACCAAGAAGGGTATTTGTGGGTCATGATGAGTTTTCTTAATATTACAATAGTATGCATGAGATTACTATACTTAGAATAATATGATACGTAGTAATGTTAATTCATATATATCTGGTGCATATTATATTTGCATTAATTCTAAAATAAGTTAAAGTATTATCTATTCAACAAATTGTTTTTAGAAAGTAAGAGGTAAATGAAATGTGTAATTTAATGTCAACAAACATTTATACTATTTAACTATTGTATCTGATATTCAATATGTTTTGATATCTTACAAAATCGAGTACTAATTATCTAATAAAAATAATTAAACATTACAAAACTAAGAATTTTTTGGTACCCTATGTCTTAAACAACGAGTTCTATTGTTTATTTTTTTAAGTTATGTAAATTATTTTAGATTCTACTTCTTTTAAATCTCCAATTAAGCATTGCATTATGTGAGCCTATATATTAATTTTGAAAACTTAAAGTTAAGGGGGGCGAAAAACATATATACCTAATTAAAGTATGAAAATTTTATGAAAATATTATATATAGTAGAAAATTTTGGAAGTCCAAGGAGGGCGGTCCCCCCCCCCCCCCCCCCCCCTTTGGATCAGTATATGACTCATATACTCTACATTACTATAAATTAATACGATTTTTAAAACTTTAGCATTCTTTCATTATATATATACCAAATATAACATAAATTATCTAAAAGTAATTTAGATACTTTTAAATTCTATTTTTATATAACACACACATGTATCTATTTTAGGGATGCATGAATAAATACTTGTGCTATAAAATTGTTGGTTCATAAAAGATATTTATTGGTATGGAAAATATAAAAATCTCAAAGGCTTTAAACGGTTCGGTCCGGTTTTTTTCGGTTCTCAAAATCTAGGACCAGTCCCGTACCCGTTTGAAACGGTACGGTTCGGTTCGGGATTAAACTCTATGAAACCGTTTAAATACCCGATATTTGGTTCGGTACCATTACGGGTCGGTTCGGTACCGGTTCGGTTTTTATGTCCACCCCTAATATACTATCGTATATAGTATGCATGCGTGTGTGGAGGAGACTTGGTGGATATGCTCTGGAGGTTGTAACCTCCCTCTAAATAAGGAGAAAGTATCCTCCGTATATACTATTCTATGTGAATGCCTGAATGGATAACAATTACGTAGTACAATATATGCAGCGATAATGATTGATAAAGATTTATACAATCAATAATATTAAAATAATGTTATAGTTTATCAGGTGGGCGCCTAGTCGGGAACTAGTCGGATACATAGAAATTGTTTTTAGGATGTTTTTATTTGACTGTAATTTGTCCCAGAACAGATCAGAACAGACCAGTCCAGACCAGACCAGTTCAAACCAGACCAGACCAGACTTGGATAGTTATAAAAATACAAAAAAGAGCCAAGACATTACCAGACCAGACCAGTTCAGACCAGATCAGACCAGACCAGCAAATTACAGTCCAAGTAAAAACATCCTTACTTATATTTTCGCATAAATATGATATGAGTTATTAATCCGGGATCCGAAAGATGAAATGGTCGGTCTAGGGCCCGAATGATTGAAAAATATCAATCTAGGACCTAAGTTGTCATGATTTTTTTTTATTTTTTATTTTAAATATTCAAAATATTATTTAATTTTATTAAATGAATAAACTTTTGTGAAGAAAAAATCATCAAAAACTATTATTGGAATTAATAAAAAAAATAAATGAATCAAAACCTATGAAATTAAATTTTAGGTCCTAGATTGATAGTTTTTAATCATTCGGGTCTTATACCGACATATGTTATCTTTCAGGTCCTAGATTGATCATTCATCTATCTTTCATGTCTAGGATCGATAAAATTCCACTTCTTTCCGGAAATTTTCCAGCGAGTCTGAAACTTCATTTGTTTTTCCGATCCTAAAAGATGATAGGGGTGAAGACGGGTTATGAATTAAAGGGAAAAACAAAGTTAAATATGGAGTGAGGGAAAGATGAGAGAAGGATTAACTGATTAAGGATAGATGAGAGAAGGAAAGATGATGAAGATGCAAGAAAGAAGAAAGAGGGTGGGGGGAGCTAGAATTTTCGTATGGCAGAGAGGAGAAGGAGGTAGGGTAAAAAATATATGGACCTTTATAATGGATGTACACAAAGGTGTACACCTAGCATTATTGAACAAGAAATAAAGGAACATAGTAGGATGCTAGGATGAGTTTTTTGAAAGTCACATGACCGATATAGGATGCTAGGACGTGCTTTTTGAAAGTCACATGACCGATGGCCATGGTAATTAAAAAAATATGAATTTGTATGTACTACATGTATAATTAGTAGACATTATGTTAGTCTTCTTCTCCTTTCTTCTTTTCTCATAACGCCAATGCCGCCACTAGATCGAAATTGGGAGCCCTAGATTGTTTGTCTTCGTTGGTGTTGTTGTTCTATGGCAAGGTTTTCCAACAATGTCTGGGGCAGGGGATGGGTTTCTGGCAAGGTCTAGGGGTGGCATTGACAAAGAGGGGGTTGGGGGCTACGGAGTAGGGGCAGCAGTAGTCACCACAAGCCATGACAGCGGCCCACACCGGGACAACTAAGAGATTGTGCAAGGGCCGGGGAGACGGTTGGGCAGGGACAGTGGTGGTGGCCGGGGGCAACGTGGGCTGACGGTTGCAGAGAGATTTAGGGGTTGGGGGCTGGCTTTGGGTTGGAGACCGGCCGGGGAGGCTGGCCGCTGGAGTCAGGAGGGCGGTAGTAGGTAGCGGTGGCGGTGGCTAGAGGTGGTCACTATCAGATCAGGTAACTGTAACTAATCGAACCGAGTAAGATCATGTTTGGTAACTGGTTGAATCGAGTAATTGTAATTGGTCGGGTTGGGTAACGGTATGTGGTCGGGTCGGATATTGACACACGGTACTTTATCTTTTTCGAGTCTTATATTGACACGCTTTATCTTTTCAGACTCCTTATTATAGTAAATTTATCTTTCAGGTTTATGATTGATAAAATTTCAATTTATTTGTACTGAAATATTAGAAAAAATGTAATTTTTGTATGTAATATTACATATACATATAAAATAATACTCCGTATTACCTAATTGACCGTCCTGCCCGTCTGCAAACCAGGTAAAGACCGACCTT